TCCAGGGAATAGTTTTAGGAACCTCAAGCGCTCCCAGTAATTGAGGTGTTTTATCTCCGTTATGCGCGCCGTAAAGGTTCTCTGTACATTTTCTAGGTCAGCAATTTCACCTGCCTTGAAAGGTGCTGTTAGTGTGCAGCAATATTCCAGCCTAGATAGAACAAGTGACCTGAAGAGTGTCATCATGGGCTTGGCCTCCCTAGTTTTGAAGGTTCTCATTATCCATCCTGTCATTTTTCTAGCAGCTGCGATTGATACAATGTTATGGTCCTTGAAGGTGAGATCCTCCGACATGATCACTCCCAGGTCTTTGGCGTTGGTGTTTCGCTCTATTTTGTGGCCAGAATTTGTTTTGTACTCTGATGAAGATTTAATTTCCTCGTGTTTACCATATCTGAGTAATTGAAATTTCTCATCGTTGAACTTCATATTGTTTTCTGCAGCCCACTGATAGATTTGGTCGATGTCCGCCTGGAGCCTTGCAGTGTCTGCAATGGAAGACACTGTCATGCAGATTCGGATGTCATCTGCAAAGGAAGACACGGTGCTGTGGCTGACATCCTTGTCTATGCCAGATATGAGGATGAGGAACAAGATGGGAGCGAGTACTGTGCCTTGTGGAACAGAGCTTTTCACCGTAGCTGCCTCGGACTTTACTCTGTTGACTACTACTCTTTGTGTTCTGTTTGTGTGGAAATTATAGATCCATCGACCAACTTTTCCTGTTATTCCTTTAGCACGCATGATAGTGTTCATAGCTTTGGCATACTGCTCTTATCTGTATTTTTTTTGTACCTCTGTATGTGTGCACAAATTGGAAATAAATAGGTCTGCACATAGTTCTGAATGACACTACACCATTGCACATTACTTCATGAGCTCACGGCGACACTAGCTGGACCATATATGGTGGGCTGGACAATTTGGTGGAATGTGGATTTACGGTATTTCCGCCGTTAGTAGAGGGACGCCTCTGTCCCGCCACCTCCCAACAGCCAGCCAGCGTATCGAACCCCCACGTTACAATATACGTACATTGCTTTGCTGAGAGACTGATAAGGTTCATCAGGAAACATTGCAAGTGACTCCTGATTCGGGTCTTAGTTAGAAGACCCGCCATTGGAGCTTTTGCTCATCTGCCCGAGGCCTTCCGCTGGCTTACCGGTTCACCCCCTTTAAAAGTATGGTCATAGCTATAACCATTCAGTTTTTAGAGACTGATAAGATTTTCAATAGGAGAATATTTTTAAATTATGGAAATCAATGTGTACTTAAAGTACTACTAAATGTATTTTACAAAAAAAATGGGAACCTATTTTTTTGCCTTGAAATCTAAATCTAGAGGCCAAGCTATGCTTCCTATCACTTGGTTGGCTGGTTAATAGAGTTTAAAGCTTATAGGCAACACTAGTCACTAAGGCTGCACTGTATTCTTTTCAGTACCAACTGAAAATATTTTATCTCAAATATGGGCATATTGAGATTAAAGTAAACTTTAAGGGTATATAAAGTGAGTTTGGTTCAAACATTTAGAGAGGACAGAGCAAAATAGGATGACTTGGAGGGTATATAAATCTGTAGTGGATGAAAGATATAGGAGTAGTCCTAGGAAAGTCGGAGGGAGTGGGTAAAATGTTTTGTGTGAGAAGTCACGAAAGCTCTCGGAATTTCACTAATTTTTCACAGTGGTTGTTCTGCATATTGTGATTCACCGTTTACTGTGTCTTATTTCTATCTATATATATATATTATATATATTTAATATATATATATATATTTTATATTAATTATATTTATATTATTTTTAAATTAATATATTTTTAAATATATATGCATTATATATATCATATATTTATATAATATATATTTATATATTTTATATATATATATATATTATCTATTATTTAATTTCTTCTTGAAGCCCTTTTTTTCCACTTCTCCGGGCTATGGGTCCCACAATTTACACCCGAGGTGGCCCCCTTATATTATATATATTTTATATATAATACATATTTTTTTTTTTCAAAAGTCGGCCGTCTCCCACCGAGGCGGTTTACCAAAAAAAAAGAAAATCCCCCAAAAAAAAAAATATTGCATCATCATTCAACACTTTCACCACACTCACACATTATCACTGTTTTTGCAGAGGTGCTCAGAATACAACAGTTTAGAATCATATACGTATAAAGATACACAACATATCCCTCCAAACTGCCAATATCCCAAACCCCTCCTTTAAAGTGCAGGCATTGTACTTCCCATTTCAAGGACTCAAGTCCGACTATATGAAAATAACCGGTTTCCCTGAATCCCTTCACTAAATATTACCCTGCTCACACTCCAACAGATCGTCAGGTCCCAAGTATCATTCGTCTCCATTCACTCCTATCTAACACGCTCATGCACGCTTGCTGGAAGTCCAAGCCCCTCGCCCACAAAACCTCCTTTACCCCCTCTTTCCAAACCTTTCGAGGACGACCCCCAACCCGCCTTCCTTCCCCTACAGATTTATACGCTCTCCATGTCATTCTACTTTGATCCATTCTCTCTAAATGACCAAAGCACCTCAACAACCCCTCTTCAGCCCTCTGACTAATACTTTTATTAACTTCACACCTTCTCCTAATTTCCACACTCCGAATTTTCTGCATAATATTTACACCACACATTGCCCTTAGACAGGACATCTCCACTGCCTCCAACCGTCTCCTCGCTGCTGCATTTACCACCCAAGCTTCACATCCATATAAGAGTGTTGGTACTACTATACTTTGCCTCCATAGATAACGTTTTTTGACTCCACATATACCTCAACGCACCACTCACCTTTTTTCCCTCATCAATTCTATGATTAACCTCATCCTTCATAAATCCATCCGCCGACACGTCAACTCCCAAGTATCTGAAAGCATTCACTTCTTCCATACTCCTCCTCTCCAATTTGATATCCAATTTTTCTTTATCTAAATCATTTGATACCCTCATCACCTTACTCTTTTCTATGTTCACTTTCAACTTTCTGCCTTTACACACACTCTCAAACTCATCCACTAACCTTTGCAATTTTTCTTTAGAATCTCCCATAAGCACAGTATCATCAGCAAAAAGTAACTGTGTCAATTCCCATTTTGAATTTGATTCCCCATAATTTAATCCCACCCCTCTCCTGAACACCCTAGCATTTACTTCTTTTACAACCCCATCTATAAATATATTAAATAACCATGGTGACATTACACATCCCTGTCTAAGACCTACTTTTACCGGGAAGTAGTCTCCCTCTCTTCTACACACCCTAACCTGAGCCTCACTATCCTCATAAAAACTCTTAACAGCATTTAGTAACTTACCACCTATTCCATATACTTGCAACATCTGCCACATTGCTCCTCTATCCACTCTATCATATACCTTTTCTAAATCCATAAATGCAATAAAAACTTCCCTACCTTTATCTAAATACTGTTCACATATATGCTTCAATGTAAACACTTGATCTACACATCCCCTACCCACTCTGAAACCTCCCTGCTCATCCGCAATCCTGCATTCTGTCTTACCTCTAATTCTTTCAATTATAACCCTACCGTATACTTTTCCTGGTATACTCAGTAAACTTATTCCTCTATAATTTTTGCAATCTCTTTTGTCCCCTTTCCCTTTATATAAAGGGACTATATATGCTCTCCGCCAATCCCTAGGTACCTTCCCCTCTTTCATACATTTATTAAACAAAAGTACCAACCACTCCAACACTATATCCCCCCCTGCTTTTAACGTTTCTGTCATGATCCCATCATTTCCAGCTGCTTTACCTCCTTTCATTCTATGTAATGCCTCACGTACCTCCACCACACTTGCATTCTGCTCTTTTTCACTCCTAAAAGATGGTATACCTCCCTGGCCAGTGCATGAAATTACCGCCTCCCTTTCTTCCTCAACATTTAAAAGTTCTTCAAAATATTCTCGCCATCTACCTAATACCTCCATCTCCCCATCTACTAACTCCCCTACTCTGTTTTTAACTGACAAATCCATTCGTTCTCTAGGCTTTCTTAACTTGTTTAACTCACTCCAAAATTTTTTCTTATTTTCATTAAAATTTCTTGACAGTGCCTCTCCCACTCTATCATCTGCTCTCCTTTTGCACTCTCTCACCACTCTCTTCACCTTTCTTTATTTCTCCAAAATACTTGCTCTTCTTATAACACTTCTGCTTTGTAAAAACCTCTCATAAGCTACCTTTTTCTCTTTTATCACACCCTTTACTTCATCATTCCACCAGTCACTCCTCTTTCCTCCTGCCCCCACCCTCCTATAACCACAAACTTTGCCCCACATTCTAATACTGCATTTTTAAAACTATTCCAACCCTTTTCAACCCCCCCACTACTCATCTTTGCATAGCCACCTTTCTGCCAATAGTCGCTTATATCTAAACCCGAACTTCCTCCTCCCTTAGTTTATACATTTCACCTCCCTCTTACTTGTTGTTGCCACCTTCCTTTTTTCCCCATCTACCTCTTACTCTAACTGTAGATACAACTAAATAATGATCGATGTATCAGTTGCCCTCTATAAACATGTACATCCTGGACCCTTTATAAAATTAATATATATATATATATATATATATATAATATATATATATTATATAATATATATATATATATATATATATATTTATATATATATATATTATATTATACAACAATTCAGAATGAAGTGATCAAGATTCAGGGGGAGGAGGGCTACAAGGTTGACTCTTCAAGTGATACATCGTATCATATTTTTGGTATTCTTAATTTGTTAACATATCATTTTGTTAGATTTGTCTGTAAGGTAATTTGTAATTAATAATTTTAGCGCTTTTCCATGTTTTTTTATGTTATTAAGTTTTCCTTATGCTACATTACTCTGAGTCAATTATTAATCTTGCTGTAAACGTTAAGCACACTGTTGGAGTTATAAAAGTTGATTCATAGCTCTCCTTGCTACAGGACGACACAGAGTACCCGACGTGGACTCCAAGACGGTTGCAGCAGCTGCTGGAGGAGCCCACCACCTCCTGCCGGCGACTGACCAGCCTCGGAGGATCTTACCTGTGCGAAGACTGCCATACCTGCCAAAGAGACGGCAACAAGTACATCTGCTTCGATCCCGACGTCAGGTGTGTCACTGGCCTTCCTTAACACACTACTGATATCACCTTCATATCTACACGATACATCATCTGCCCACACATCTTTATATCTGATGTTCTGAGAACATACATGTATGGTGATACCCACAGAATGTGGCTACAGATACCTATCCACACTTCAAGACATTTATTGAGGAAACTTCTGGACTGAAGAAGTCACTCGTGGAAAACGACTAAGTGCCTTTACCTACATCATATGATGTTACCTCTTCGTCTACATCATCTGATGTTGTCTCCATCTACATCATCTAATGTTGCCTCATCTACTTCATAAGTCCCCTTTCCATCTACATAATCTGATATTACCTGTCTGTCCACATCATCTAATGTTGACTCTATATACATCATTTAATATCGCCTCTCTATCCACATCATCTGATGTTGCCTCTCCATCTACATATGTTCTCTTCATTTACATATGCTGCCTCTCCATCTACATATGTTGTCTCTCCATCTACACATGTTCTCTTCATTTACATATGCTGCCTCTCCATCTACATATGTTGCCTCTCCGTCTACATCATCTGTCGCCCCCCACCTATTACCTGATGGCTTTCTTTCTGTCATCTAATGTTACCTGTCTCATTTGCAGCATCCTAAGAATTTTCACTTCACCCGCGAACGAACAGGCTTTTCATTGTTGTTTATCAGTGGCCTTATGCTAACGTATGTCAGGAATACACACATTCATTAGCTATCAGAAATTCAAAAAAGTTTTGTCTTAATGTTGGTAGAATTACCGACAATATGTTAGGTAAAAGGACACAAGTGCAACTAATGTGTCATTTTATTGTGGCAACGTTTCACTCTCCAGGAGATCAAGCTAACGACTTGATAAAGCTCCTGGAGAGTGAAACGTTGCCACAACAAAATGTTACATTAGTTGCACTTGTGTCCTTTTACCTAACAAAAAAATGTCTTTATACTGTAGTTACTCTTGAACATTATAATATTTTTCTGTTATATGCCTTCTCTGCTGGAAGTCAGTAATACCATCCGTTCCACTAAGCCTTCAATGATTACCAAATGCCATCAAAACCATATCTTAGGATACATTATTATGTACTGATCCTTTTTTAAGTGATGTTTATGCAACCTAGCTCCAGTAAGCCAATATGAAGCAACAGCAGTTTTTTGACGACAGAAAACCACCACTGTTTACTGCCTGTTCTTTTATTCAGAACCACACCCTGAATATTTTAGATATTTTGTTTAAGATATACCAATTTCTACCCATCAAACCCCACAATTGCATGATTGGAGAATTAATAAATATAATTTTTTTGTGTAAGTCTTCAGTAAACAAGGTGATGTTGGGGCTGGTTAGTCAGACGTATATGTTCGTGTCTGGGAAACACATATATACCTGGAGAGTAAGGAGGGGTAATAAATAAGTTTCTTAAATTGTGCAATCATTATGTTACAGTATTGCAATGGGTACCATAACTAATACTTTTTAATTGGTTGTGGTTATTTTTATTTGTAAGGTATGATAGTATTTATGGGTCAAGTGTTTATGTTCGAGGCTTTCACTGTCTATTAGTTTTACATTTGAGTGTTTATGATCGTAGCTTTCATTCTTTGTTTATATTGTACGTGTGTTGTATATATTGTTACTGTTATGGTCGCTGAGTGACCCACACAGTCAAAGTACGCTGAAATATAACATCTACCATTATTACAACTAATGCGTAAACGCCTAGGAAAATATATTACTAGCATAAGAACATATTTCCTCGATAACGCTGTTTCCTCCTTTCTATTCCAACTTAACAGACCTGTGCCGGGAAATTGTCTAGTGTACTCCTTCGGTGTTGGGGGCGAAATGTCGTGGGACATAGCCATGAGAAATCTCAATTGCTCTGTCTTTGCCTTTGACATGACTCTCATGGGTTGGGGCAACAGTATGTTCGCTGAGGGCCTCCACTTCCTCGACCTGGGTCTCACAAGCTTCAATTCTGATGTCAGTAATACATGTGTGTAGTTATATATATACTTATGTTGACACTTTCAGCCACTCCCTGGTCTGAAGCCCCTTGACTACACGATTAGTTAAGGTTGCCATCCACCTGTATACTAACATGATTCCTTTAAGCCCTAAAATAGGGATTAAAGTAAACTCTTAGTACGGTGGATGGATGCCTTTTTCGAATCGCGCAGTGACCGAAATATATTTAGTTATTACTAATAGTAATATTAGTAGTAAATCTGGCTGTAGTACTAGTATTAGTAGTGGTAAAGCTAGCTGCGATAGTAGCATTCCTAGTAGTAGTAATAATAGCAGTAACACTTAATATTTTTAACTTCATGTATATCAGCAACCCTCATAACTTTTCAACTCAACAGGATACCATCAATATGACGGCGGCTGGAAACAGTGTCCAGCACTGGGAATCGAGAAAGGCTTATTTCCGCTCGCTGGAAACCATTAGGGATATCCTGGGGCACAAGGATCGGCCCATTGACGTCCTCAAGATGGACATCGAATTCATGGAGTGGAAGGTGCTGGTTGACATCCTCAGCACCCCAGAGAAGTTCACAGTTCTACAGGACGTCAGGCAAATAGCCCTTGAGGTTATTGTGATGACCTTGCATTTTCATCGAACGAATAAACATAATAAAAAAATGTTTTAAACCAGACTTTTTAAAATTTTAGAAAATAATAATAATATATTTTACATTTTGAGATATCTGTTTTGTTATATACCATTAGATGTAAGGAACTAATAAGGAGAGTATACATATCATTTTAACTATTTTAAATAAAAATATTTTTGTATAAGTGGAAATACATACTTTAAATGTGTATACGTAATTTACTAATTTTTAGTTAATATATATTTTTAGCCCCATTCTCAAAAATGCAAAGGATCACCACATTATCTTAAGGCAATTTTGTTGGTCTCACGTTTTTTACCTTTAAAATACTGACCACTGTATGTCCTGGCCAGATCCACTTGGACGGACTGAGAAACTCGACGGCCGCGGAGCGCGTGGAGGAAGCTAGGAAGGTGGAGGCAGTGCTAGAGGGCCTCCATACCCATGGATTCCACCTCGTCCACACAGAGCTCAACACCGCACAGCAGGTAGCTTATCAGTGATTGCTCTTAGGGAAGACTAAAGGCCACCACTTCCTTTTAAAAATAATAATAATACAGGTTTATAACAAGTCCTTTGATTCCCCTTTTCAACTGTATGGCCACCCATAGATCATTATTATATTCATATGGAAGCGCTGAGCCTGTAGGAATCATACAGCACTGACTTCCTATATAGAAATTCCGAGCCACTCCTGTGGCCTGGTGACTAAAGCTCTCGCTTCACACGGCGAGTGTCTGGGTTCGATTCCCGGCGAGGGTCAGAAACATTGGGAATGTTTCCTTACACCGGCTGTCTATGTTCTCCATCAATAAAATGGGTACCTTGGTGTTAGTCGACTGGGACAAAACTGGCCTAATTTGACCGAAATGCATTGCATAAACAAGCGGGTTTTTATATAGTAGTATGTCATTGATGTCAGCTAGGTCTGTATACCTTGTACATGTAATTGTAGAAATAAACGTATTATTACTATTATTATTATTATCCTTGAACAGTCGCAATATCATGAAAGTACTAGTCCTATTTCTTGGACAGGAGTAATAGATATAATTTTTACTATGTCCTCGAAATCTTGGAAACCCTATCATTGCCAAAAGACAGCATTGATAAAAATTTCCAGCATAGCCTAGGTATATGACTACAGTGGTAGCATTTTAAAACTAATAATCAATCATGTACAGGTACATGCGGAGATACGAGGGCAGGTGTTGCCCCTCTACCGCGAGTCCCTCTTCCTCCGTCGACTGTGACTGTCACGCAGTTGATGCTGCTCTTCGTCCATCAACTGTGACTATTCTGCAGGTATGATGCTGCTCTATCTTCCTCGACCGTGACTACCATGCAGTTGTAATGCTCCTCATCCTCCGTCGACCATAATACTTCCATCAAATGTGACTACCTCACTGAGGCTATAATTCCGTACCACACGGTACAAAGAGGATGCGTAAGATGTACGGGTCGAATGCCGAGGTAATCAGTGCAACGAGTTCTAATGTTTCTATGTCATCATATAATATGTAGTTATATGTTATAGCATATGGGCATAAATGGCTATATTATACTGTAGTGATGAGTGTTGTAAAGCAGTACGGCATTATGTCAGTGGTCATTATTGTACATTCTTTACAATATAAACGAATATGAGTTCATTGTTATAACTAAAGGTTGAAACAAGTTAAGTTGACAGTAATTTTATAATATTAATCCTACATATGTGGAGTTTCGACAATCTTGAATTACTTCCACCAAAAACATGAATATATCTTAATACACATACTGTAATCACTAAGTTGATGTATCCTGAAGGACTATGCGATTAGATGGCATGGTCCCTCTGCATCCCCCTTGCCTCCCACTGCTTCACCTCATCGTCACTACTGTATATTATGCAAGTCTACGGCCTATGCTGACTATTTACAAGATTGATGGACTAACATGATCAGTTCAGGATGATTACCTCATTCTACTCCTCTTCATTACTTCCATCTTTTAATGTGGATATCTGATGAAGCATGTTAACTGGCGAACGTCCTAATAAAGATTCCATATGGCAAAGTGTCTCAATCTACAGTTGTCGGTTTTTCAAACATTCATCATATATATATATATATTATATATATATTATATATATATATATATATATAATATATATATAATATATATATATATATATATTATATATATATGTATATAAAAACAGTACGGCATTACTTCTTGGCTTTTATTTATTGTAATTTTTTAACAAATATAAAAACAATATGAGCTTCATTGTATATTAACCCTAATTAATTGAAGAAAGTTAACAGTACACAAGTATATTTAAATAATATTAATCACATATACTATATGTGAGAGATTTTCACGAGAACACAATCTATAATTAACCTTCCACCCACATTGGGGGAAAACATCGAATATATCTTAATACAAACTGTAACTCACTAAAGTTGATGTATCCTGGAGACTTAGTGGGACTTTAGGAACGCTGGGGGTCGCAATGTCCCTCCTGTCATGCCCACCGTCTGAACCTCCCCAACTATCTCTGGGATCCTGGATTAGGAACAAATAATTTCTGTATATTATGAAAAATTATGTCAGTAAAACTGGCTATTTAGCGAACTGTATTATAAAGAATTTAAATGGACTTATTGAAGTATTTTATCTACAAGGTTACAATTATTTATCACATTTAACAATAAGGACATAAATTATTACTTATCATTTTATTACACTGGTGGTATATCCTAATACCTCCCACAGTAAGATCATAAACACTGGCGAACCTAAATTACTGAAGAGTGCATGCGGTATAGGACAATATGGCGTCTAATTCACAGCTCCTGCAACGCATTTTCTGTCGTCCAAACACTACATTTACAGATGTCTATCCTATTCACTTATATCGTAGCGTTGAATTGACAGCAAACATTTCTAACGGACACTATAAAATTAGAGAAACATTCAGGAGCCAGCTGGTCGGTCTCCCTTCTAACTTCTGTTTTGCTTTCTCACTTCTATTTTGTACACATATATTTATTGAAATTTAATGATATTTCTGGGTGTGTAATACATTTTCCTTATCAGGATATTAATTTCTTCAGTATTACAATAATTCCACTTTACTTAATTAACTTATTACATTATATAAGGAAATTATAAGGAATATGTTGTTCCCTATGACTTACCGCCTTTTAAGTCACATTAACATTACACACCTGCATTATTATATTAACTATTATCCCTATCAGTTATTACATTTAAATCATAGGAAAATTATCAAAATTTTCCACACTATACAAGCTAAATACTCCTTTCCCCAATAATATTTATTACGAAACTAGTAACCTGAAAATCAAGCTGCGTGATTGTTTTTTAATATAAACCTGAATGTCTACTTCGACAAGACGAACCAATGTGTTTTCCCAAGTGCAAAAATTATTTTTTCTTTCTTGGAGCTAAAGTTACTACAGGGATATAGCCAGGACTATCTCACACTGGTGATTGAGGGTTAAGTAGGATCTCTCTCATTGACAAGTATTTATTACACTTTGCTGTACTATATATATAGTATATATAGATATATATATATATATAAATATACTAATTATATATATATATTTATATATATATATATTATATTTATACATATATATATATATATATTAGATATAATATATATATTTGTATATACATATTATATATCTATATAATATGTTTAAGATTATATATTATACTATATTATATATATTATATATGCCGATACTGATGCTTTCTATTTTTTTATTTTTTAAATTATAATGACTAGATTTAACATATACTTATTGCGCACTAAGTATTAAATAACCCAGGAAGGTTAAATATTAAATAACTTAATTTCCTGAGATGATAATGTAATTATTTATTACTTAAGCTGTTGTGTTAGGTACTGGTTGTCAAAGATACTTGTCAATAGTGTGTGTGTTTGTGTACGTGCGTGCGCGCGCACGCATTACCTCACCGACCGTCTCTCAAGGTAGTGTGACCCGAAAAATGGGAATAACATTTACCACCATTCACGCCACAGCTCTCTTGCCAGAAGTGTGCATACATCTCAGTTCAAGTGACAATCAGAGCTGTAGTATACCGTCTTCCCTTTCTGCCTGACATAAAATAACATGTAAATTTATAAGAAAATCGAATAAAGGTTGTCAGAACAGAAGGGTTTAGTGACTCCCTATGAATATGATGATGATGATGATGATGATGATGATGATAATAATAATAATAATAATAATAATAATAATAATAATAATAATATAATAATAAAATAATAATAATAATAATAATAAATAATAATAACAATAATAATAATAATAATAATAATAATAATAATAATAATAATAATAATAATAATAATAATACAAATAATATTAATACTCTGGTAAACGTACAAAGGAGGATGACAAAGTTGATCCGATGTATCAGAAATCTTCCCTATAAGGATAGACTGAGGGCCCTGAATCTGCACTCTTGAGAATGGCGTAGAATTAGGGGAAGATATGACTGAGGTGTATAAATGGAAAACGGGAATAAATAAAGGGGATGTAAATAGCGTACCAAGACAGGACTCGCAGCAATTTTTTTAAGTTGAAAAAATCAGTTTTAAAAAGGATATAGGAAAGCACTGGTTTCGTAATAGGTTTGTGGATGAGTGGAACGAACTCCCAAGTACCGTCATAGAAGCTAAAACGTTATGTAATTTTAAAAATAGGTTACATAAATGCATGAGGTGTGGGTGGGTGTGAGTTAGACCTGACTAGCTTGTGCTACTACGTCAGATGCCGTGCTCCTTCCTTAAGTGAATGTGACCTGACCTGACTAGGTTGGGTCATTGGCTTAAGCCAGTAGGAGACTTGGACTTGCCTCGCATGGGCCAGTAGGCCTGCTGCATTGTTCCTTCTTTCTTATGTTCTTATAACTGCAGTAGGATATCTGACCCGTTCTAGGCAGTTTCTACACTTTGCAGTAATATAAATCTTGGTAATTGATCCAGACAAATGTGGTAAAGACATATGACCAAGCACTAGTATATATTTATTAATTAATCTGTCCTAGTTTTTGATGTTCATGTGCTTCATAAAGCACTGAGTATGTCTACTGATCCATACAAGGCAAGAACTCATCTTACTCACCCATTCCCACTTATAAGAATTAAACTTACTAGTATTTAAAACAACATATTTCTAACACAAATATTTTCCCTGAGGATAAGTGAGAATGGACGAGTCAAAAAGCTGTTTTATATATATATATGTGGTTTTCGTCCTGGTTTCTCTTTGTAAAGAGCTTACCTGTGAGTTTTCCAGGGGTTTTGTACGCGGACAGCCCTGCCTGGTGCTAGGCTCCCCAGTCTATATCAACTTTGTTTTCTTCGCAATGACTTTTGTTTGTTATAATTGTTTCATGTCTATATGAGCATGAACCATGTATTAGCATAGTTAAGAAAATCATATTTTAACATAGCTAGATTATGATCATTCTAATTCTCTCTCTCTTTTTTTTTTTTTTTTTTTTTTACACAGGGTTTGACAAGGTTAAGGATCCCTAGCTTTATTGACAAGCTATTTACAGGTTAAGGATTCCTAACTTCATTGACAAGCTAAGAGCTGTTACCTACATCAGCTCATTTGAAAGTATTTTTATTGTTATGAGACATACAAGTAGGGAACAGGATGAAGTTGGAGCCATCTGTGGGCCAGCATTTTCATGTGATCAACTGACTTTATCTCGTTGACATCATTATGTTGTACGAATGTGTTCCATACTCGAGTCATCCTGGGTATATATGATCTCTGATGGAGTGATGTTCTGGAGAAGGGTACAGCCAGAGTGAAGTTGCTGCTTTCTGCCCGTCTTGTGGCATAAAAGCTTGTTTCACGCTGTCCTCGAAGTGGATCCAAGTGTGGTATTTTGACAATATTGGCCTTGTACATATCTCTCTCTCTCTCTCTCTATCTCTCTCTCTCTTTCTCTCTCTCTCTCTCTCTCTCTCTCTCTCTCTCTCTCTCTCTCTCTCTCTCTCTCTCTCTCTCTCTCTCTCTCTCTCTCTCTCTCTCTCTCTCTCTCTTTTGCTCTGTTAAACCATATTCAATCTCTCCCAAGAATCATTACTCACCCGAATTATATTTCCCGACATGTGTTTAGGGACATCTTTCACTATTCTCCCATGAGTGCTGTCACAGAATCCATTGTCAATTCTTTGGATACGTTATACTGCTGCCTCCGAATACGCTGTATGACCCTAGTGGGTTTAGCGCTTCTTTTATATAATAATAATAATAATAATAATAATAATAATAATAATAATAATAATAATAATAATAATAATAATAACAACAACAACAACAACAATGCCTCGGAATAAAACAAAAAGCCAGTTTGCAATTGTGAATACCATTAACTCTGATCTCAAAATGCAATTTAACTCTGTCAGCATGATATTTATAGAGTACAAAGCATTTTCGTCTGTGTATTGGTAATGGTAATCCAGAATATTGGTATTCTAATCCAGAATACAGAGCAGCTATGCAAATTTATCATTAGTGAACACAAAGTATCTTAAACACAAAACTCAATTTCGACGAAGTGTTGTGAACGGCTCCGTGGTGGCCTTATCGCTTCAGACCTAGGAGAACCAGGGTTCGATCCCAGATGAATCGACAAATCTCCTTACACCTCTTGCCCCCTGGTCATCTTTTATTTTATAGATACGTACTTTGAGATGCGCTAAGGCAGGATAAAAGTGAATTTCATAGTATACAATATATAAGATATATAGATATGTGTGTGGGGGAGTGTTTGTATTTACAAGAGCCAAGGTATACTCGTGTTACTCCGGCCTAGTATATGCTCATGGTGTTACATCTTCAGGTATACTTGTGGTGCCCCATCTAGTTATAGTATCCTACATTAGGGTATACTCAAGGTTTCCGCTTCATAAATATATTTGCGTTATCCCGTGCAGTTATACTTGTGGTGTTCCGTGCACAGGTATACTCTTGCTGTCCTGTGCACAGGAATATTTGTTTTGTTCTTTCACATGTATACTTATGGTGTCCCAAGTACAGGAATAATGTCTCTTCTGGACACCTTGCGTCGCAGGTTGTTGATTCAGGCAAGCACCATTGGACTTTTTTTTTCTTTTGGTTGCCAGGAACCTGGAGACGGAGGAATATCCCTTACCGATGCCTGCAGCTTTAATTATTTACATATTTTTTTTCTGAAGCTCTCCCTCGTATTGCCAGACCAGCGATTCACCGAGATATTAATAAATTCGAGGAGCATTCCCCATCTTGAAGGTGCATGTCCCAGTTCAGGAATCGGAACCAAAGGCAAGTCACAGAATAGTTTAAACATTTCAGGTTTAGATATGGTAAATGTTTGTCGTAGGTCCACTATGTGTATATGTTTTCTCATACGTTGCCTAAATAACACATATACACCTATCTATAGGCTTCCAGTGCCCATAAATCCTACTCATTTAAATATCTCAAATATCCTTTGGTCTTATACATCTATAGGTTCAAAGACCCGTAGATCCTACAAATCTATAAGCTTCAAGTGTCGATGGATCCCATACATCTTTAGGCTTCAAACGTCCTTAGATCCCACATATCTATAGGTTTCAAATATTTGTAGATCTCACATCTACAGGCCACAAACATTAGTGGATCCCACATATCAGTAAGTTTTAAATGTAAACAAATCCTACACATCGATAGGCTAAAAGCGTTCTTAGATCCCATACATTTACAGGCTTCAACATCCGTAGATCGCCCCACATCAATTAATTGGTTTTAAACTTTTGTTGATTACTCATCTACAGGCCTCAAACGCCCGAGATCCCGCAGATCATTAAGCTTCAAACATTCGTAGATAAGACACATCTAAAGGTTTCAAACGCCCGCTGATTCCACACATCTATAGACTTCAAATGTCCACATATTTAATGCCCTGCACCTTTTTTAGGTCAGTGATTTCCTTGACTATGCAGTATTTGAAACGTAATTATAATATTATCATAAAGAATAACTCATTTTCCATTTGATAGCAAAGACAATTTTGTTTAATGCAGGCTAAAAACAACATAAAAAAATAATTTATAAGGTGTTAAAAGTTTTGTTAAGCTATACTTCTCTCTTATTTATATACTTATGGTTATAATCATAACCATAAAATTTTAAAGAGGTGGACCGGTAATTTCAGCGGAAGTTCTTAGTCAGATGACCAAAAGCTCAATCTGTGGTTCATCATATGACTAAGACCGCGTCAGGAAACAATTGTCCTGTTTCCTGACAAACTTATACCTACCTCTTATTTTGATTTGGTAGTGCTGTGACGCCAAAAACAAAGTTATTGTGAATTTTAGTTATCTAAGGGAGATTTTGGAAGCCACAAAAAAAGCTGTATGAGACTTAGTGGTCGGTTAGGAGGGGGGGAAGCAAAGTTGAAATCTGTATAAAACAGCTGGTGAAACAAATGTGGAGTACAGGGAACCTCTGGTCACGACATAATTCGTTCCAAAACTCTGGTCGCTACCCGATTTGGTCGTGACCCAAACCCTAATTTCCCCATTGTATTGTATGTAAATACGATTAATCCGTTACAGACCCCTACGAACTGTGTGTAAATATTTTTTTTTAAGATTTTTAAGCACAAAAATAGTAATTATCCCAAATAGAATGCCAGTGTAATAGTAAACTAAATGAAAAAAACCTTGAATAACACTGAGAAAACCCTACGAACCGTTCGCTGTAAATAGTTTTTTTTTAAGAGTTTAAGAGACGTCTAAATGGCTAAGAAGTGAACTCCGTTATTTATCTTCCGATTTCTTTCATTTTTAGTGTACGTTAAGAAGCATCTTTCCATCATACATTGCCCAAGTTTCATTAAGATATCCAAAAAACAACTGAGAAATTTTTTTTTTTTACCAAAAATCATATATGGCAAGCCCAGGCTGGGTACTGGCACTACGAGAAGCTGTTTGTGTACTACTTGCTGATAAAACATTGCTAATCCATATTCATATGTAATATTGAATAATTTTACTTCAGAGATAATCGACAAAAACGAGCTTGCACCGAAAAAAAAAAATCTAGAAAATAAGTCACTGACTTTTTTGGGTTATCCTAGGTTCTCTACACATATGTTATGTATGATAATCCATGTAACTGTATTTGTGTATACCTGAATAAACTTACTTGCTTAGTTTTATGGTGCATTACGAGTGTATATCACAGTTAGCACTGTACTACACTACATTTTCTCTAATATAAGTAACAAGGAGGGGATAAGAGGATGGTACCTTATCCCTTATCCTCGAGTTCATAGTGAATGAACGCACGTCTGACAGAGACCGACTACAAGGCGAGGGTCTTTGTTAGGTGTACACAAACAACACGAAGTGGGGAAAATTGGCGCGTGCAAAAAACAAAAAAAAAAAAAAAGGTGCCGAATGTGAAAATTGGCGCGGCTGTGTTTGTTCGGCACCCGATTATGTGTTCATGACCAGATGCAAAAATTTAGCGAATTTTTTGGTCGTGAACCGATTTGTTCGTGTTCGGAAGCATTCGTGACCAGAGGTTCCACTGTATATCATGGCCACTGCAAAGTATTATATCAGTGGCGTAATGCCGACAATGGTGAAGAAAATACACACTTTGAAGAACAAACTTTTAGTGGAGTAACGTCTCGCTCTGTGGATTATTATTATTATAATCATGGGGAGCGCTAAACTCGTAGGATTATACAGCCCATATGGGGGGGATGGAAGGTATTCAGATTCGATTAAGGGAACCGGAGCACAGACCCAATTCCCTAGATCAAGAACCCCTCACCAACATCAAGGAACCTCCCTTGAGGGGTCGCTCTGTGGAGAGCTTTATCAAATCATGACTCGATAAAACTACAAATAACGACACGCTGACGCAATGAAATTTCTAACGTAGGGGCGGGCAAGTTCTTCGATAAGAGCCACATATAATACTTTTCATACATTTTTGAATATTCAAGAGCCACACACAAAAAATATTATTTTAAAACTATAGTTAACTTTAACTAAAATCAATTTTAAGTATTTATTAATTAGAAGAGTACTTTTCTATACTACACTGCACTAGTTATGTTCCGCTACCACCACAAGTGCGTAATTTGCGTGTACTGCGTGAAGAGTGTTGGCGCAGAGTCCAGTTGCATCATCCGTACTTGTTTAAAACATGTTTTGGTTAGTATATACTATACTATTATACTGTAGATTATTAATATAAAATAGGAAAACCCAGTGTCGTCTCGGAAGCCGCACACCCCTCAAGGAAGATTCCTTGATGTTGGTGAGGGGCTCTTGATTTAGGGAATTGGATCTGTGCTCCAGTTCCCCGAATTAAGCCTGAATGCCTTCCACATCCCCCCCCAGGCGCTGTATAATCCTCCGGGTTTAGCGCTTCCCCCTTGATTATAATAATAATCGGAAGCAGCACAAAGTAGCTTCGGGAGCCGTATGCGGCTCGCGAGCTGCAGTTCGCCCACCGCTAGACACTTTTTTTTTCACTGCAAAGTAACTGATATATGGGGGTTAGTTACTGTTGAAAGTACAACCCCAACGACATACCGTATTTGTTATCTAAAAACAGTTAAATTTGCTCAGTGAAATTAGTAGAAGCTTGAAAAAATTAGCAAACTTTTATGCTTATTATTCTTAGGTTGTCTGTAGACACCCAAAATTATAATGATCGTCTCTTTATGAGAGTACAAGACAATATATATAACATGAACTTAAAGTCCAGTTATCACCACCCACTACCATTCATGTACCCGTCCAACCTATGTTTAAAACTACCAAAGGTTCTTCCCTCAGTGACATCACCCTGGAGTTTGTTCCACTCATCTACAACTCTATTACCAAAACCAGTACTTCCCTATATCTTTTCTAAATCAATTATAAGCGTGCCTGGCTTAGAGTTTTGTTCAGATTCGGTCATGTATAAAGGTTGCTGTGATACAAATATGTAACTATTATTTGTAACAGAAATAGTATATACTGCATGTAGCTATACACATACACGGTGATATTTTATGGCGAAAAATTAGGATATCCCTATAATTCTTCAAAAATATTTAAATCTTGTTACACGCATGCTGTAATCATGCCTTACGAAGATTAATGCTTGAACCACAAAAAAAAATTAAAATATTATAACATATTTAAAAGTAACAGAGGTTGACTTAGAAAGAGGCGGGTGTGTGGTTGTGGCCGGTGCCGCCTGGTGGCACCCTCGTCGCGCAGATCAATAGCTTACTAGACAAGGTTGGGAAGGAGGACACTCATACACCAATATTTCCTCTAATTTGTGGATTTGAGGCGGTGTTTTATGTCGATAGTGTTTATTTTCTAGAACCTATCCTCTTTCGAAGGATAATAGTAAGGTGAGTAACTGCCTGCAGTGTGCTGAAAGACATAACTTTGATTATCTGCATTTGTGATGGCAGAATTTTAGAAAATATTTGTCTAGATATTTTGAGTATGTGTATTACTACTACCACAGCAACTGAAGACTCCTGGGTGTTGAGAGTGTGTCGCTATGTTCTACAAATAATTTACTACATGTAATACTTGTCCTAATACACACATTTCGTTATATGTTTAATGCAGTCCTTGTATAAGACAGTTCTTAGAGCTTGTCACTAGTAACAAAGTACTATACTGTGTATATTGTGACAGTAACTTAATAATGGGAATATGATTTATGTAGATATATATGTGAGTGCTTATTATACCATGCACCATTTTATATAATAGTGACTGACTAGGGTAACAAACTGACTTCAAATTTTAATGTTATAAATAGTTATGCTTCCGAAGACATGGGGAGTAATTGCTGATTAATTAATCGTCTGCAGAGCTTAGTCTAAAGAATTTGTGATTTTAAAGCTATTCGTGAAGGAAAATTAAGTATTGCAGAAAATCCTGAATGGGCAGAGGTATTTTGATAAATGCAGTCCATAAAGCACCTGTAGCTACTGTACCATAGGAAATCAGTATTTATATATCTAGTAAAATAACAGCTTTCCTAGACCCACTAACAGCTAAACTGAAATTCATAGTTATTGTAGCAGAATTAGTATGAATGGTTTAAAGTTGGAAGCTGTGTTAAATTCGGACTGACCCTAGTAAGATTAGAAGGTACAGGAAAGGAACCCTCACTGGGTATATGAGTAATGAAAACACGCCTGATTCTATATATAGACCGGTCAATACTAACAAAATGACTCATTCAATGGAAAGCTATTTTTATAAGGCTGGGGAAGAGTTGTGCTTGTTTGTATTTTACTTCAAGTTAAAGAAAATGAAAGGTAATATAAATTTTCAACGAATACATATATACGAAATAAGAGAACATAAAGTTACCAATTTGTTGTAGATATTTAAAAATGTTCATAATTGAGCATATAATATTGTATTTTAAATATAATATATATTATTATTTATATATATATATATATATATTATATATATATATATATATATATATATATATAAAAATTTTATATATATATATATATATATATATATATATATATATATTATATATATATATATATATATATAAATCTCTGTTTTTTTCAGAGGTGCTCAGAACACAACAGTTTAGAAGCATATACTTATAAAGATACACAAAAATATCCCTCCAAATGCTAATATCCCGAACCCCTCCTTTAGAGTGCAGGCCCTTGTACTTCCCATTTCCAGGACTCTAAGTCCGGCTATATAAAATAACCGGTTTCCCCGAATCCCTTCACTAAATATTACCCTACACCCCACTCCAACAGCTCGTCAGGTCCCAAATACCATTCGTCTCCATTCACTCCATTCAATATATATTTAATAATATATATATATATATTATATATATATATATATATATATATATATATATATATATTTTATATATATTTTATATATTATGTAGGTTGGAAGACAGTAACCACCCAGGGAGTTACTACCGTCCTGCCTAGTGAGTGTGAAAAAGAAACCTGAAACTTTTATATGATGGTAGGATTGCTGGTGTCTTTTTGTCTCATTCACACGCTGGATAACAGGTATATCTTGCTACTTCTACTTACACTTAGGTCACACTACACAGGCATGCACATGCATATATATATATATACATACACCCATCTAGTTTTTTAATAGTTCTTGTTCTTTATTTCCTCTATTCTCTATGGAGAAGTGGAAAAGAATCTTTCCTCCGTAAGCCATGCGTGTCGTATGAGGCGACTAAAATGCCGGGAGCAATGGGCTAGTAACCCCTTCTCCTGCAGAAAATACTAAAAAAAGAGAAGAAAAACTATAAAACTGGGATGCCTGAATGTGCGTGAATGTTGAGCGGATGATAAGAAAGAGATGATTGCTAATGTTATGAATGAAAAGTTGTATGTCCTAGCTCTAAGCGAAACAAAGCTGAAGAGGTAAGTGATTTTCAGCGGGGAGAAATAAATGGGATAAAATCAGGAGTATCTGAGAGAGTTAGAGCTAAGAATGGGTAGCAATAACGTTGAAGGATCAGTTATGGAAGGAGAAAAGGGAATATAAATATATAAAGGATTATGAGTGTGTGGATTAAAATAAGGGTCGGATGGGAACAGTGGGTCACAATAAGCGTGTATGAACCTGGATAAGAGAGGAGTGTAGAGGAGAGAGACAGAGTTTGGGAGATGTTAAGCGAATGTGTAAAAGCTTTTGAACCAAGTGAGAATAATTATGGTAGGTGACTTAAATGGTAAAGTAGGAGAAACATTTGGAGAGAGTGTGCTGGTAAGTTTGGGGTGCCAGGTGTAAATGACAATTGGGGCCTTTTGATTTATCTTTGTATAGAAAAGGGTTTGGTTATAAGTAATACATATTTTAAGAAAAAGAGGATAAATAAGTATACAAGATATGATGTAGGGCATAATGACAGTAGTCTGTTGGACTATGTGGCGGAGATGGAGGGAATATTTTCGGGAATTGTTAAATGTTGATGAAGATAGGGAAGCTGTGATTTCGTGTACAGGGCAAGGAGGAATATCTTGTAGGAGTGAGGAAGAGCCCGTTGTGAGTGTGGGGAATGTTTGTGAGGCAGTGGGTAGAATGAAAGGAAGTAAGGAAGCTGGGATTGATGGGATAAAGATAATGTTAAAAGCAGGTGGGGATATAGTTTTGGAGTGGTTGGTGCTTTTATTTAATAAATGTATAGCAGAGGGTAAGGTACTTAGGGATTGACAGAGAGCGTACATAGTTCCTTTGTATAAAGGCAAAGGGGACAAAAGAGATTGCAAAAATTATAGGGGAATAAGCCTGTTGAGTATATCTAGTAAAGTGTATGTCAGAGTTATTATTGAAAAAATTAAGAGTAAGACGGAGAGTAGGATAGCAGATGAACAAGGAGGCTTTAGGAAACGTAGGGGGTGTGTGGACCAAGTGTTTACAGTGAAAAAAAATAGGTGAACAGTATTTAGATAAGGGTAAAAAGGTTTTTGTGGCATTTATGGATTTAGAAAAGGCGTATGACAAGGTGGATAGGGGGGCAATGTGGCAGATGTTGCAAATGTATGTAATAGGAGGTAGGTTACTGAAAGCAGTGAAGAGTTTTTGCGAGGATAGTGAAGCTCAGGTTAGAGTATGTAGGAGAGAGGGAGATTATTTCCCAGTAAAAGTAGGCCTTAGACAAGGATGTGTGATGTCACAATGATTGTTCAGTATATTTATAGATGGGGTTGTAAGAGATTGAATGCTCGGGTGTTGGCAAGAGGTGTGGGGTTAAAAGATAAAGAATCTGACACAAAGTGGGAGTTGTCACAGTTGCTCTTTGCTGATGACACTGTTTTTTTAGGAGATTCTGAAAAGAAGAAAGAAGTGGAGAGGTTGGTGGATGAGTTTGGTAGGGTATATTAAAGAAGAAAATTAAAAATGAATATAGGAAAGAGTAGGGTGATGAGGATAACAAACAAAATTAGGTGACGAAAGACTGGATATCAGATTGGAGGGAGAGAGTATGGAGGAGGTGAATGTATTCAGATTTTTAGGAGTGGACTTGTCGGCAGATGGGTCTATGAAGGGATGAGGTGAATCATAGAATTGATGAGGGAGAAAAAGTGAGTGGTGCACTTAGGAGTCTGTAGAGACAAAGAACTTTGTCCATGAAAGCAAAGAGGGGAATGAGAGTACAGTTATACCAACGCTCTTATATAGGTGTGAAACATGGGTGGTGAATGTTGCAACAAGGAGAAGGCTGGAGGCAGTGGAGATGTCATGTCTGAGGGCAATGTCTGGTGTGGATATAATGCAGAGAACTCGTAGTTTGGAAATTAGGAGGAGGTGTGGGATTACCAAAACTATTATCCAGAGGGCTGAGGAGGGGTTTTTGAGGTGGTTCAGACATGTAGAGAGGATCGAACAAAATAGAATGACTTCGAGTGTATAAATATGTAGTGGAGGGAAGGCGGAGTAGGAGTCGGCCTATGAAAGGTTGGAGGGAGGGGGGTAAAAGAGGTTTTGTGTGCGAGGGGCTTGGACTTCCAGCAAGCGTGCGTGAGCGTGTTTGATAGGAGGGAATGGAGACAAATGGTTTTCAGGACTTGACGTACTGTTGGAGCGTGAGCAAGGTAACATTTATGAAGGGACTCAGGTAAACCGGCAGGCCGGACTTGAGTCCTGGAGATGGGAAGTACAGTGTCTGCACTCTGAAGGAAGGGTGTTGAAGTTGCAGTTTTATAACTGTAGTGTAAGCACGCCTCTGGCATGACAGTGATGGAGTGAATGATGAAAGTTTTTCTTTTTCGAGCCACCCTGTCTTGATGGGAAGTGGCCGATGTGTTTATATATATATATATATATATATATATATATATATATATATATTATATATATATATATATATAATATATATATATATTCTGTAAATGTACTCTGTTTATTAATAAATGTTCACATAGAATATAAAATATATAGGGGGTGGTAGGAGAAGAAAATATTCAAACAGCTCCGGGAGAACCTTGAGTTTTTCCTGAGGTACGTTTATTGTCTTCTCTGAGGATGAGGGTCCCCATTCCAGCTATAGAGGTGGTACTTCCCTATATATATATATATATATTATATATATATATATATATATATATATATATATATATATATATATATATATATATATATATATATATATATATATATATATATATATATATATATATATATTATATATATATATATATATATATATATATACACACAGATATATATATGAGTTCATAGATGAGGAAATATCCAAAATTTATGAAATAGGTAATGATTTAAAATACCCAAGAAATGTAATTGATAAATCTTTTAAAGTTGCTAGAAATACTTTTTACAATCCAAAAAGGGACAACCAGCCTTATTCAACTAA